CTGTTTTCATCTCAGGCCTACTCAATGCTTACTCGCTGCTCCAATTGTTCCCAGTTAAGTGATCTTCCCTGCTGGGCTGTTGCTTACTTGTTCTGCAATACATTGTTTCCTGCATCCCGGGCCAGAACGTGGCTGGAGAGGTGATAAATATTTGGGGGGGCCTTTCCAAAGTGTTCTTTCCTCTTCAGGGAATATTCCAAGCAGTTGGAGTGTGACTAGAGTTGCTGTTTGGGCCACACCAGGTGCTGGCCTGGAAAAGATTGCTATAGGATTTTTGCTAGAGGGCATTGTTTTGAAGTCCTGGTCTGGAGAAGGATATTTTATCTCCCACACTGAAGAGTGTAGCGTGGAGGTTGGGTGGCAGACAGTTCCTAGGACATTGTGGGTAAGACTCAGTTTTGGGACTCTCGGGTGTGTCTGCTGCTGGGGAGAGGCAAGTGCCCAAGGTTACGGTATGGACTGGGTCTGCTCTTATAGAGACCTAGAGTTGCTGGCCATTTCCTATTACCTCCAGCCAAGCACCTTTATCCCTCTCCTGTTCAAGTTGTCAGCAAAAGAAATCCAGAAAAAAGCATCCCCTAGTGTCTGTGGCAGCCTCTGTACTACCTTGTAAAAACCTGTCTATTTCCAGCAGCCCCTTCAGGGGTAAGTGTTACATTAATTTTTAGGGGACCAGATACAACAGTTTTACTTACCTGATCCTCGGTTTCTGCAGGCTCCTTCGCAATGCCAATCCCCATAGCCTCTTCTAGCTCCCTCATTCGCAAATTGCCTGACTTCATTAAGATGGAAAGCCTGTTATTCTGTACCAACAGGTACACCACCAATGTCTCGCCAATGAATTTATTCTATTTTGAATATCGGTGAGTGGAGATGAGATTTGTCATTTTTAAAGAAAATTGGTATATTTCTTCAAAAAGTTTTTGTAAAATGCATTGGCGCCCTTTGGGAGGGCAACAATAAGGTGGCTTTTGTCTGTGAAGGTTTTCATCTATCCATGTCATGATATAGCTAATAGTAGTTAGTCACATTCAAATGAACTGAAGCTGCCCATAGATCGAAAATTTGATCTGTTCAGCAGGAACTGGCTGAATTTCAACCCATCTATGGCTGTTCCCACGTAGCAGAAGTCCATCTACCAATTTACTTCTGTCAAACGTGATTGTTGGAACACCTCGATTAGCTGGCTGCAGCCATTGACCAGTGTATTCTGACAGCAGAGGAGTCATTGTTGTCAGCATACAATGGCAAAGAGGGAAGACTTCTCCCATCCAACTCACATGTGGCTGGCTGATTGAAAAAAAAAAACAGGCATCTATGGCCAGCCTAAGTCCTGTTGAATGTGACTAACCTCTTCTAGCTAGGTTGGCTTTTGTTTGCTTTTATTAATGCGTTCTGTTCCATAGGGGTCAAAGTGCATTTGTACTTTGTCCCATCTTCCTAGGTGCTGCCTAAGGCTAGCTGTGAGGTGGTCGGACAGGGCAACCCTCCTCCCTCCATGGCCGTTTGACAATACAGCTAGTAAGGAGATGACTACTTTGGCAGATGGCACTATTCTCTGTCTCCAAGCACTTATGTTTTTCTGGGATATTTTTGCTGCCCCGAGGGTGTAGTTTACATGAAGTGGACATACAAACCCTGGCTTCACAGCTGTCCACTCTAATGTGGTGTGGTAACGCACCCATGGTAAGTGCTATGCAGGGGCGGGCTGACCATTTGGAAACTTGGGCACTGCCCGAGGGCCCGGGTCAGTAGGGGGCCCCATGAGATGCCCCTGGTACCTTTTTCATAGGCTTTTTTGAGTTTGGGCAAGGACACAGGGGCCCCATGATCCCCCATTGCCCGGGGGCCCCATGAGTTGTCAGTCCGCCCCTGGTGCTATGTTAATAAGCATTGTGTTAAGAATCCACAATCCATTTTGATGTGCTGTGCATTGTGGTACCATTAAAAATAAATGGCACTACTTTGCACCAAGGTGTACATACTTTGGGCCACTTCCACGCCTCCATTTTGCGTGAACATGCAGTTTTTTCACACTTTTTTCTGCATTTTCACTGAACACGCATAGGGCAGTCTATTCATTTACATAGGATGTCCTTTGTGCCACAAACAAGCCACCGAAGCTCCTGCACCTTCATGAGTGTACACTGTTAGTTCACCTTTGCTTTTTTTCTGTAAAGGGGAACTATCACTTTGCTCCTTTAAATGACCAGTCCATTAAAAACTGGCATTTTAGGTCCATGCCAGCATGTTCAATAATATATTGACTTTTTAGGTGCAACAGGAGATGTGAGACTTCTTGTCAAAAGACAGGACCTCCAGAAGAAAGATCTCATAGTTGGAAGTTCTGAGACATGAAATGAGCCAGCCAGGTAGTTGATACATCGTTATCAACCCATAGCTGAAATTGCTGTTTTCAGGTAAGGATCCCTTTAATTCACCACTGCCTTTTATGCCGAGCCCGGCTGTTCTCTAAAACCTTAACATTTTTCTTGTGGTGGAATGCCAGTCATCATAATCTACAGCCAGAGGCCAGACATGGTTCTCAGGTCCCCTGCTTGCATTACTGTATGAAGAGTTTGCTTAGCCCGAGGCTCCCAATCTCAGCTACATGGATTGCAGGACCCGACCCATCGACACACGTCTGAAGAGATCTGGTTCAAATCCACTTAAAAGTCCTGATTTTCCTCTACTCAATGCCCATGTGTGTCCCTCTGATCCAGGGGCACGCAGCCACACCACATGTCAGCTATTCAGGATGCAGAGAAGGGGAGATCTGGGATGGCGACACGTGTACGGTCCCGTGTTCTGTGATGTCCCATGGGAGCGCCTTTTCAGAAGAGCGAGGAGACAGAATATGACAAGCAGAAAATGATGTTTCATTCTGCTGTTCCCGTAAGGCGTATTTTGATCCTGCTCTCGGTTAGTTGGAGGAAAGCATATATAAGGACCTGACAAGGGCAGAGAATCCATTTCTGTATTGTATGAGGAAGCAGAATCCGAACAAAGAAATCACCTTTAAATAGTCGCCTGTAAATAGGACACTAGGGTGGAGATGGCAATGTCGCAGCAAAGTCGCAGATTTCTGCTTCCTCACAACTTCAGTGAAGATGGACTCAGATTCCACCACAGGGTGATGAATAGACGTAATCTGATTGAGAAAAAAAAATACCTCCAAGAACATCTTCCCATGTTGCACCAAATAGTGATTGTATTTAGTTCTTTTTTTCAAGAGCAATTTGATGTCTTTTTCAAATATCAATAAAATGCACAAAAAAAAACTTGTGTTCTTTTTGTTTGTTTTTTTTCCTTTCTGCAAAAAAAAAAATGAATGCAGTAACGTGCTTTTTTAAAACAGATGACGTGCTATAGCTGATGCACATTAAAATGTGATTCACATTACGGAGAATCCATAAAGAGCTTTTGTAAACCCCAAGAACTAGTTAAGATCCATCACACCTTTTACAATCACTAAGGGCTTGTTCACACTTGTGACAGCCCTAGCCCCCCACCCTCCGAAAAGCAATCGGCAGTGGATACATTTTCAGAGGGCAGTTGACAGGCAGCTGGGAGGCAATATGTCCACACTCTTGCACTGCAAATGTGTGCATTGCACTTGGTTGCAGAGAAGTTGTAATGCAGAACCATTCACTGGAAGGGGTCACATTTGCTGATGGGATATATTTTTGCAGTAAAAAAAAAACACCTACAGCTGTGGTATGTGTACCATGCCATCCAGCTGCTGTGCTGCGTTAAGGGGTGTGGTAATACCGTGGCTCAGACACCTATTTTTACTACCTCCCTGGCCATATATCTGAGCAACACAGCAACAACATGTCTAATTCCCTCATTTTGATTTCCCTATTTCCTATGTCCACAATCTCTAACCAGCAAATGTAACATATTTACACCCTGTGTCCTCTTCTTATGTATGTCTGCAGTCTCTGACCATCTCCTGTAGTATGTCTGCAGTCTCTGACCATCTCCTGTAGTTTGTCTGCAGTCTCTGACAATCTCCTGTAGTATGTCTGCAGTCTCTGACCATCTCCTGTAGTATGTCTGCAGTCTCTGACCATCTCCTGTACTATGTCTGCAGTCTCTGACCATCTCCTGTAGTATGTCTGCAGTCTCTGACCATCTCCTGTAGTTTGTCTGCAGTCTCTGACAATCTCCTGTAGTATGTCTGCAGTCTCTGACCATCTCCTGTAGTATGTCTGCAGTCTCTGACCATCTCCCATCTCCTGTAGTATGTCTGCAGTCTCTGACCATCTCCTGTAGTATGTCTGCAGTCTCTGACCATCTCCTGTAGTATGTCTGCAGTCTCTGACCATTTCCTGTAGTATGTCCAGGCTCTGACCATCTCCTGTAGTATGTATGCAGTCTCTGACCATCTCCTGTAGTATGTCTGCAGGCTCTGACCATCTCCTGTAGTATGTATGCAGTCTCTGACCATCTCCTGTAGTATGTATGCAGTCTCTGACCATCTCCTGTAGTATGTCTGCAATCTCTGACCATCTCCTGTAGTATGTATGCAGTCTGAAATGACCATCTCCTGTAGTATGTATGCAGTCTCTGACCATCTCCTGTAGTATGTCTGCAATCTCTGACCATCTCCTGTAGCATGCCTCAGTCTCTGACCATCTCCTGTAGTATGTATGCAGTCTCTGACCATCACCTTATTGTGTCTGCAGTCTCTGACCATCTCCTGTAGTATGTCTGCAGTCTCTGACCATCTCCTGTAGTTTGTCTGCAGTCTCTCTGACAATCTCCTGTAGTATGTCTGCAGTCTCTGACCATCTCCTGTAGTATGTCTGCAGTCTCTGACCATCTCCTGTAGTATGTCTGCAGTCTCTGACCATTTCCTGTAGTATGTCTGCAGGCTCTGACCATCTCCTGTAGTATGTCTGCAGTCTCTGACCATCTCCTGTAGTATGTCTGCAGGCTCTGACCATCTCCTGTAGTATGTATGCAGTCTCTGACCATCTCCTGTAGTATGTATGCAGTCTCTGACCATCTCCTGTAGTATGTCTGCAGCAATCTCTGACCATCTCCTGTAGTATGTATGCAGTCTCTGACCATCTCCTGTAGTATGTCTGCAGTCTCTGACCATCTCCTGTAGTATGTCTGCAGTCTCTGGCCATCTCCTGTAGCATGCCCCCAGTCTCTGCTATTTTTAAGTTGGTGACAGGGTCTCCTTAATTCTGAAATCTCAGACCATCTCCTTTATCAAGTCTGAAGTTTCTAACCACCTTCTGTACCACGACCACCTTCTTCTGTAGTATGTCTGCAGTCTCTGACCATCTCCTGTAGTATGTCTGCAATCTCTGACCATCTCCTGTAGCATGCCCCCAGTCTCTGACCATCTCCTGTAGTATGTATGCAGTCTCTGACCATCTCCTATATTGTGTCTGCAGTCTCTGACCATCTCCTGTAGTATGTCTGCAGTCTCTGACCATCTCCTGTAGCATGACCCCAGTCTCTGCTATTTTTAAGTCGGTGACAGGGTCTCAATTCTGAAATCTCAGACCATCTCCTTTATCAAGTCTGAAGTTTCTAACCACCTTCTGTACCACGACCACATTCTCCTGTAGAATCTCTGCAGTCTCTGACCATCTCCGGTAGTATGTCCACAGTTTCTGACCATCTTCTGTAGTATATCCAAATGAAACAATCACCAGCGCTCTAATCTTCATGCTCATCATGTAAAATGGCAACTTTCACTTGGTGAGGTGCATCCCTCTAAAGATGGGAGAGTCTTGATGCTAGCAAAAGAAAAACGCAAAAGGTCGCACTCTCCTCGTGTATTATCGTAGTTGCAAATGAATTTATTAAAAACATGACAAATGGATGCTCACAAAACGAATGAAAAAAATGAACATGAAGCCAAATGGATCAATGTCACACAACTGGAGTCCTGCGATGATGGTGCCCAGTGGGAAACTCTACCGCGTTTCGGGAGTTGAACTCCCTTTCTCAAAGCTAAGATGATAGAGAAAAGCCACATATATAGGGAGAATAACTGATTCAAATAATCACCACACCCCTCCATGGAAAATAGCCCCACTGCTGGGTCCTACAGCTGTTTGCTGTCACTTCCATGAATTAAATGATTGGAAATAAATGGTGCTTGTGCAAGGATGTGTGCAAACAGTGACCTTAGTTCTGACGTTTCTGACCATCTTCTGTAGTATGTCTGCAGTCTCTGACCATCTTCTGTAGTATGTCTGCAGTCTCTGACCATCTTCTGTAGTACGTCTGCAGTCTCTGACCATCTTCTGTAGTATGTCTGCAGTCTATGACCATCTTCTGTAGTATGTCTTCAGTCTCTGACCATCTTCTGTAGTATGTCTGCAGTCTCTGACCATCTTCTGTAGTATGTCTGCAGTCTCTGACCATCTTGTCCGCAGTTTCTTTTATTTTTTAAGCTGGTGACACTGTCTCTTTAATTCTGAGGTCTCTGACCATCTCATTATCAAGTTTCTGAAGTTTCTGACCACCTTCTGTAGCATGACCACATTGTCTGACCATCTCCTGCAGTATACTTGCAGTCTCTGCTATTTATTTAAGCTGATGACCGGTCTCTTTCATTTTGAAGTCTCTGACCATCTCCTTTATCAAGTTTCTGACCACCTTCTGTAACATGACCACATTCTCTGACCATCTCCTGCATTATACTTGCAGCCTCTGCTATTTATTTAGGCTGATGACCAGGTCTCTTTCATTTTGAAGTCTCTGACCATCTCCTTTATCAAGTTTCTGAAGTTTCTGACCACTTTATGTAGCATGGCCACATTCTTTGACCATGGCCTGTAATATGGATGCAATCTGTAAACATCTCATGCACAATGGTGGGAAGCTCTGCATCCCTCGTAGTACTTCTGCTGTCTGTGTCAATCTTCTGCGACATTACATTCAATGTGTATAGTATGTGCTGGTGACTTTGAAGCTCGCACTTGATGCCCCCTATATTAAGTTTACCACCACTGTAATAAACAGTCCTATAACTACAAGTGACTCTGCCAATTTAGATCTTCTTGTGTGATTATAAAGTCATTTATAAGAAATTGGGAGATAACAAACTTCTCAAGCAGTCTCAGGTGCCTGTTATCACACGTTAGAACATTTCCTTGCTAATGGGTCCCAATTCTTCAATCTTCTATGCAGAACTGTGAGGTGAAATAGTAGGTCGTGGTGCCTGAATGATGTAGCACAGAAGAGCTAATGTTTGGTGCAGAGAATTGCTGGGAAGGTGAGACAATAAAGAACATATTTTGGTTTGAAAGGGAATGTATAGTCATTTTATGTATATGTTTTCAGATACACTATATGGCCAAAAGTTGTGGACACTTGACCATCATACCTAAATGATCTTGTTGGACATCCCATTCCAAAGTGTGGGCAATAATATGGAATTGTCCTCACACCCTTCCTTAACAATTATTAAAAACAATATACATTCCATTTAAATGGATTTTTAATGGGTCATGAAAAATAGAGTAAAGGTGGAGTGATCCTTTAAACGTTGCCTGTTGGTTGTACAGAGCATAGTCATTGGCAGACAGGCGGCTGTTCATTCTCCTGGATGTTGTATAAGCCATCTCTGTCCCTCAGCTAGGAATCCATCACCCAGATACTTCCGCTTGTCAGAGCGCAGCATCTAATACGGAGAAGAGATTACTGTCAGTCCCGAGTGTTGGGGCTCTGTGATCGAGCTGGTATTCCTTGTCCTGTCATTGTGGATCAATGTCAGATTGGACTGAGATGCTCCCCATGCCATTGTATTGAAGCTGCTCAGGCACCATTAAAGTGGCAATAGTAATGGAATAGCAGCAGTCATGTAAAAGCCAAACTTTTTTCTTTTTTTTTTCTAGTTTTGAGTGATCAAGGGTTAAAATGCCTGGGAGGATTTTATTTCTGTCCATTAAAGTGATGGGAACTCCCTCATCATCTCACGCCTGGACTATTGCAATTCCCTTCTCACTGACCTACCCAAAAGAGCGCTATCTCCTCTCCAGTCGATCCTGAACTCAGCGGCTAGACTCATCCACCTCACCAACCACTCCACATCTGCCACCCCCCCCTCTGCCAATCCCTTCATTGGCTCCCTATTGCCCAACGCATCAAATTCAAACTGCTAACTCTGACCTACAAAGCCATCCACAATGCCGCCCCAAACTACATAACTGACCTGATACCCAAATACTACCCTACCCGTGCCCTCCGCTCCTCACAGGACCTCCTACTCTCTAGCTCCCTGGTCTCCTCCTCCCACGCCCAATTGCAGGACTTCTCCAAGACTTCCCCCATCCTCTGGAACTCCCTACCCCAATCCATCAGACTGTCGCCTACCCTCCTCACCTTCAGGCGCACCCTGAAAACCCTCCTCTTCAGGGAAGCCTACCCCAACCTCACCTAACACCCGACCTCACCTAACCTCCTCCACTCCTGCCGCCTCTTCATCCCTCACAGCTTTCTCCTCCTGTACCACCTTCCCCTCCCTCCTAGATTGTAAGCTTGAAAGAGCAGGGCCCTCGAACCCCTCGTGTATTGTATTGTTTCTGTCTTGTCTCATGTTCTGTCCCCCTGCTACTGTACAGCGCTGAGCATACCCTTTGGCGCTATATAAATACTGTATAATAATAATTAATAATAATAATTGTCCCAGTAACAGAAGGGAAGTAGAAATCTTTCAATATGGAAACCTGTTCAGGCAACAACAGCCTGTTTACAGTGGTGCTGTCTTCCAAAAAGCAATCCATGGTGGATCACTTTACAGGGGGCATTTGACAGGCGGTAAGGAGGCGTTATGTCTCATTTCCCGTGGCTGTGGATTAGCCCCACCAAACGCGATAGGGGGGGGATAATTTTTCCTAAAGTGGTTGTAAAGGCTCAAGGTGTTTTACCTTCATGCATTCTATGCATGGAAGTAAAAAGAAACCCTTCTGTGTGAAGCAGCCCTGCAGCCCCCCAGCCCCCTTAATACTTACCTAAGCCCCCTATGGATCCAGCAATGTGCATGAGAACATAGACTCTCGCTCCTCATTGGTTGAGACAGCAGCGAGAGCCACTGGCTCCCGGTACTGTCAATCGCAGCCATTAAGCCAATGAGGAGAGAGTGGGCGTGAGGCCGAGCTGTGCTTTGTATGTGAATGGACATGCAGAGCAGTAGCTCGGGAGTGAGCCTGCTTGGGTGCCATCATAGCAAGCTGCTTGCTGTGGGGGCACTCAGCAGGAGGAAGGATGAAGGTGTGGGGACCCAAAAAAGGAGGATTGGGGCTGTTCTGTGCAAAACCAGTGCATAGAGAAGGTACGTATACTATGTTTGTTTGTTTTTTGAAATGCTTTTAATGTCACTTTAAGCCATAGAGGGGATTTACCCTCACTTTGCAAAGAAATTTTATGGTGTTAAATAATTTGTGTGGATTTTTTTTTTTTTTTAATGGTTGAACTGGATGAACTTCTGTCTTTTTTTCAACTAGACTAACTATGTAACTAAATAAACAAGAAAAGTAGACAAATAGATCCCCCACAGCCAGTAACAATAGACCCCCCCCAGCAACATTAGATTCCTCCAGCAACAATGGACTCCCAAAACAAAATATCACCCAGACAACAATAGACCCCCAGCAGCTACAAGAGATCTCCCAGCAACCAGCATTAATAAACTCTCCAGCAGCTAGCATCAATCGATAAACAGAACACACCAGAAATTGAACCCCATCTACAATAGATCCCCCACCAGCAAAAATGGACCATTTTTGGTGCCTCATGGAGATGTCATAGATGTCAGTGTTGGTGTCAGGAATAGTGCCCTGTTGTTGGTGTCAGTAGGAGGAATAGTGCTTCATCATGGTGTCATTGTATCAGAGGAATAGTGCCCTGTTGTTGGTGTCAGTGGCAGGAATAGTGCCCTTCATTGGTGTCAGTGGCAGGAATAGTGCCCCATCATTGGTATCAGTGGGAGGAATAGTGCCCCATCATTGGTATCAGTGGGAGGAATAGTGCCCCATCATTGGTATTAGTGGGAGGAATAGTACCCTGTTGTTGGTGTCAGTAGGATGAATAGTGCCTCATCATTGTTGTCAGTGGGAGGAATAGTGCCCTGTTGTTGGTGTCAGTGGGAGCAATTGCACCCTATCATTGGTGTCAGTTTGAGTGCCTTATCATTGGTGTCCGTGGGAGGAATAGTGCCTCATCATTGGTGTCAGTGGGAGGAATAGTGCCCTGTTGTTGGTTTCAGTGGGAGTAATTGTACCCTATCATTGGTGTCAGTTTGAGTGCCTTATCATTGGTGTCCGCGGGAGGAATAGTGCCCTGTTGTTGGTGTCAATGGGAGTAATTGTACCCTCTTTGCTGTCAGTTTGAGTGCCTCATCATTGGTGTCAGTGGGAGGAATAGTCCCCTGTTGTTGGTGTCAGTGGGATAAATAGGGCACCATTGTTGGTGTCAATGGGCCCCATTGCTGATTTCTGTAGCAGAAATTATGCCCCATTGTTGGTGCCATTGGAAGGAATAGTATCTTGTATCAGCGGGAGGAAAAGTGTCTCAAGGGCCAGATAAAGGCAAGCAAAGGGCCGCATCCGGCCCCCGGGCCGCAGTTTGGAGACCACCCTAATAGGCAATAACACAATGTATGTCAGGAGGCCGGCCCTTCCCTTACAACAGAGAGCAGCATACCCCCTCCCGGCCTTTCCGTGACTACAGCCCCTGAGTCACCGTGCGAGTCTCAGTGACAAGTTGACAGAAAGGTCACCGAGGCCTTTTTATGTGCTTGGTTACATAGCATTGTATATGGCGGAGGTGATTGTAGCAGCAGAATGCTCTTGTAACAAACACACATTTTTTTTTTCATGTTCATTTTCTTCAATGAGCTTGAGAGAGATCCCCCAGTCAGTACTTCAGCTGAAAAGAGCCTTGAATGTATTATGTACAGTATATACCATGATATGTTTGTACCACATAATAAATCCCCATTCTTAGCTGTGGGATTTTATTCTGCACTTCCACCATCATAGGACGTATGACAAGACGAATCCCATCATTGTCTGTGGGGTCCATTCACACCAATGCAACACACTTCTCTTCAACTTGGAACAAGGTGCAGGAGCTTCTTTTGGGTTTTTGTCCCATAAACATTAATAGCAGCACGTGGAAACTGCAAAACATTTATCAAAAAAAACATTTAAAACAAAGGAACATCCCAATCTCACACATCTATGTCTATGATAATTTCTGGTAGGCATTTATTTCATATCTGAATAAAATATGAGGGTTTACCAGACTTCTATGTCCATCTACCTGCCTATTACAGTTCCCAAAACTAAACCCGAAATTACAGAGCAAACTGACTAGATGGGAAATCTTTTGCCTACTAGGAGTGAAAAATGCCATATT